TCCTTGGGCTCGTCGAGCCTGTTCGGCGCCGCGGACTTCGCGCATAGCTCGCGCAGCATTGCAGCCGAGATCAAAGAGAGAGAGAGGAGAGGGTTGCGTGAATTTATAGCGCGGGAGGCGGCGGGTTGTCAGCGCGAGGTGCGGGCAGCGCAGGTTGTAGATGGGCAGGACGGGAGGGAGGTGGGGAGTTAGAGGGTTCGACCCGCGGGATGGCATGATCCTGCGTGATTGGGGTGTCCGTTCAAGTGGCGCGCAGTTTCCCGCTCTCCACATTGATCCGAACATCCCAACTACGCGGCCAATCACTTCGCGGGGTAAGGATCGAGCTGGGCGGAGGGGAAGACGAAGAGTCCGGCATGGGGAAAATGCGAGCAGCAAGAAGGGAAGATGGCGCGGGGATGCAAAGCAAGAGACGGGGATGCGAGACGCGCGAAGAAATCGGAGCTTAGGCGTGCGCACGCAAAAATTCAAAAAGTTCCAACTGAAACCGTTTCTTGCTTTTCATACCGCGGCCGCTATTCGCCCGCGCCGGAGTTATTAACCAAACGAAATGAAAAAGCCGTTTCAAAAAAAAAACAAAAGCAAAAAGAAAGAAAAACCCCTTTCTGTCCGCGTCTGTACTTCGGGGCTTCCGTGGGATTTTTCCTCAGGGATACGGGAAGCCGCACGGTACGGGTCTGAGCTTAGTATCACAGGGCATCTCAAAGGACAACCAAGGGTTGCTGCTGGGAGGACGCTGGTCGGAGCTGGGGCGAGTCGTGTTGCCCTGTAACCTAGCAGGGTGGGGGCGTGAGGCCTGGAAGAGCTCAGCAGGGAGTAAGACTGTGTTGGAAAGTCTTAGAAGGGTGTGTTAGGGATCCTGAGGGTTGTGCGCATTCGTAGGACCTCTGTGGCAGCTTATTGCATGAGTAGTTCCTTAACGAGGTGATAAGAGCACACGGGAAACCTACTTAACGAGGCGATAAGAGCATCCCCATTAAGTAGGCCCCGGCATCGAAGTCGCCATCTATTGGTGGGGTGCTGGAAATCGGGTCCAGCGTCCCTGTACAATTATGAGAAATGTATGTGCTGGAAATCAGGTCCAGCGTCCTTATGCAATGACGTGAATGTATATGCCGGAACACGGGTCCAGCATCCCTATCCATCTAAACTATAGAATCACAACAACAATCTGAGGTATCAAACCAATCAGTCGAAACCCTAACCATGATGTGAGGTGTACCACCAATGCAATGATTTATATCTGCTGGAAATCGGGTCCAGCGTCCCCATACCGTGTTGTGTAACTGTATAGACTGTGGAATCTCTGCAACAATCTGAAGCATCAATCCAATCAGTCGAAACCCTAACCATGATGTGATGTGTACTACCAAAGATGTGATTTATATCTGCTGGAAATCGGGTCCAGCGTCCCCATATCGTGTATGTCCAACAGTCTGAAACTGTCTATATATCCTTAATTCGTCATTAGATATTCATGATCCTCCCCATGCTTTCTGAATCACATCGTGTTCTCAGACTGTTCTCAGCCGAAGCCGGGTAATGGCCCCGGTATCCCGAATGATCTCAACTGTTCTCAATGATCTGAACAATTCGATATGGGACGCGGGGCCCGGTTCCCAGCACATGCCACTCCCCACGAACAGGTTGGAGCACTTGTTTTTCGAAAAAAAGAAAAAAGAAAAAAAACTGAAAACACTCGCCACAACTTGTGTGTTGACGGTGTGGCGAGCAGTCTGACACATTTTGCATTCGCCAAGTTTGGCGAGTAAGTGCAACCAGGCGCCTACTCGCCATACTCGCCAAACTTGGCGTTTGGCGAGTAGTGCAACTAGGCCCCAAGTGGAGCAATGCCGCGTTTCCACGATTTTTGTATGCTCCCATAGCTGTCTATGAACTGTCCACAATTTTGTACAGTACTGTTGAAAATATGGACCCGATTTCCAAGTCCGGATGCAAGCAGACAGATGCAGCCAGATAAACAGAATAAAATAATAATCCCGGATTATGTGGGGCTGCTCAGCTTTCTCACCGCGGTGTCATATACAAGACGGCAAGGAAACCGTTTTTTTTTTTTTTTTTTTTTTTCCCCTGAACTTCATGGCCGGGGTGTCCTGCTCACGGGGGTGATACAAGCATCCCCGCTAAGCAAGGCCCCTGATTGAAGGTTCCATCTATTGGTGAGGAGTGACACCTGCTGGACACTATCAGGTCCAGTGTCCCTGTACAACATCGTGGATCGGAGATCTCATTTGTAGTTAACATTGTCGCCAAGCTAGACCTTGTGTTGTGGCTGTGTAGTAGAGAAAGTGGGGCGCCACGGAGGATCCGGGGCTGTGTGACACTTTGGTGTGTATGCCGTGTGATTAAAACTGCGTTTATGTTTGTATCTGTTGTATGTCTATTGTGTGCTGTCTTGTGTAACCTGCATGTGGTACTGTTCCATGCACCAAGGTGCTGTACTCCTATCCTGTAAATGCTGTGTATATGCTGTATATGCCGAAGCTCAGCGAATTTGTGGTGTGTAAGCTGTATACGTGTACCGCAACCCGTAATATTCTGTGATCTGTGCGTGTCTGTGATTGTCTGGGTTCCATGCACTATCAGGAAGCTTTAAAAAAGGAAAAGAAAAGAAAAGAAGAAGAAAAGAAAAGAAAAGAAAAAGAAAAGAAAAGAAAAAGGAAGCTAAGTGAATTGAGTGTTCTCCGCATCGAAGGTTGCCCTTCGTATGACATTGTCCCATTTTCACTCAGTTTCTGTTGTCTGTCCTTCGGGGCCCTTCAGTGTGAGTTCCCCTTTGCTGCTCCTCGTCACTTGTCTGTCGATCCTGCTTCCATAGTCCACGAGGGGGATCCTCGCTTGGCCAGCAAGCCGCAGGGGAGTTGCAGAGTAGGCATGGGCGGTGTGGGAGGGTTTTCCAGGGGTGGTGATGAGCGGGATGGAAGGGGGGGGATGTGAGGGTGAGAAGAGGGGGAGGAGGGGGAGGGAATGTGATGGCTGTCTTGGTCACTGTACAAGGACAAAGTTAGTGGGCAGGAAAGGAATGACGAAGTGTTCATGCGGCAGGCGATCCCACTGTCTTTCCGTTTCCACCCAAGGCTTCCATTGTCTAGTTCGCAGAGCCTCTGCTCCCGATCCACCCACAGGTACCGAAAACTGGTCGCGAGATCTGCCCTTGTGCTTGCATCTGGCTCTTTATATTATTATTATTATCTCTTTTTGTTTAATAAAAAAAGGCTAATTCTTTAAGCCCAACCAATTCAATTACCTTTCGAATCCGGACAGGACAACCTTTCAGGCCTTTTTTTATTGTCATTATAGTATTAGGGGAAAGTTACGGGGAACCCCGTAGCAGCCACATCCGTGCTCAAGCCTCCAAGTTGAACGAGGGAACATGCGGGAGCTGCATCTAGCTCTTTAGCCTGCATCTGTTTTTTTTTTTTTTTTTTTTTTTTTTTTCATACTCGCGGGACTCCCATCGTACCACCTCTCTCTCAATATATCTTTGCACCTTCCAAGTGGCATGTGTGTCTGTTGTGATGGATTCCACAATTGAAGATCGTGCTTGCAAGTAGTTACATGTGTTCTGTTTCTGTTATGAGCACAGCACATCCTCGAGGCTGCCAACGGCAATGAATCCTTAGGCTAGTTGTCCCGAGCAAAAACAGAACAAAATCTTTCTGAATTACTAACCGGTGTCATATACAAGACAGCAATGAACCCCTTCACCCGAATAGAACGCCCGGTCATTATCGCTGTATCTAGACGGAAAGTTGCTCCGAATACGGCTATAATGACCGGGGGTTGTATTCAGGTGAAGACGGTAGTTGAACTTCCTAAAGAGTGTCATATACAAGACAGCAATGAACCCTACCGTCTTCACCCGAATAGAGCGCCCGGTCAATATCACTGTATCTAGACGGAAAGTTGCTCCGAATGCGGCTATAATGACCGGGCGTTCTATTCGGGTGAAGAAGGTAGTTGACCAGAGCCAGAATTAGGACTTCTTCTCTCCAAGGCTTAGCTTTTCTCTGTGGATCTAGCAGCGATACTCGACCCGGTCTGAAATTCCAGGAGTTGTCACTCTTCGCCCGGTTTTTCATGTGCATATATAAGGGAACGCAGGATGTGATTACCATAGGGTGTCTCTCCCCACCTTTTGAACTGAGCCGTCATTTATGCATGCTCTTTTTTTCTCTTTCTTTTTTAAAGCCCAGGTTATCGTAGAGGCCGGATTCCAGACACGTTATCGAAGAGGCTCGCTCATGAGACAGTGGCATGGCAACCAATGTCCTTTTCCAATTAAAAAAGAAAAAAACAAACAAAGAACCTAATATTCTGTCTCAGTCTACATGTCCGATTCATCTGCATAGGCACTGCAAGAGGATGTCCCCAAGTTCTGCGCTTTATGGAGAGTACTCAAAACAAAATGAAAGAAAAGGTTAGAAACTTAAGGAGGTGCTGGCCTCAAGTCCCTCTCTCTCTCTCTCTCTCTCTCTCTCTCTCTCTCTCTCTCTCNCTCTCTCTCTCTCTCTCTCTCTCTCTCTCTCTCTCTCTCTCTCTCTCTCTCTCTCTCTCTCTCTCTCTCTCTCTCTCTTGCGCGCGCGCGTGCACTCGCTCATGCAGAGACCTCAATTTTGAATCTTTGGTCCAGCTTCCTTCATCAATCCCTGCAGACTGTCTTCAATGGACTTTGCAATCATCTCCGGAATCGCTTCCCTCTCTGCCATGATCATGGTTTGCAGCTCAGATTTCAGCTCCTGAATGCTCTGTTCGGAATTCTCAAGCCTCTTGGCTGTCAATGCACTCTCTGATTGCAGAGTCTTGACGTCATCCTCCAGCTGCTTGACCCTGTTGGCTTGCATTCGTTCCTTTTCCGAGTACTCTTCTCTTAACTCATCACTCTGAGACTCCTTTTTGTACTCAAGTTCCACGATCATGGCCTCGGCGTTCTCTGTGACTGCTGCAGTAACTGGCGCTGTTTGTCTGTCTTCAATCATCTTTCCCGGCACTGATGCTCTGTGACTGCTGCTGCAGTAACTGGCTCCATCTGCTTTCAGAGCCCTGGCAGTAACTGGGCCTCGGTGTTCTCTGTGACTGCTGCTGCAGTAACTGGCTCTTTCTCCTTTTCGAGCCCTGGCAGTGCTGGCACTGATGCCGCGTCATCTTGTCTTATGGCAACAACTTTTAGAACTTTGAACTCTCCGTTTCCTCCAATAATGATCTCGTTGAAGTTTCTGCAAGGAACCATGCTGTATAGCTGTCCACTTAGTCCAGTGTGGATCGCTATGGCCATCAGCTCAAAGTTCGACTCTGACTTCCTCCAGATTGTAACTTTTCCTTTCTTTGATGCACTAAAGACGTATGGCGAGTGTGGATGGAAGAAGGTAGAAACACTCTCCTCATTGTTCCCCTCCAATTCTACTACGCATCTTTGTTTCTTGTAGTTCCAGATCTTCACCGTAGAGCCATGGTGCCCAGTCATCAGAACCGTCGTCTCCAGCCCACTGTGAAACTCCATGCTATGAACTGGACCCCCACAGTGACTGTAAAGACAGAAACTTTGGGAAATAGGGTGGGCTTCCATATTCCACACCCTGATGCTGACGTCACCTGCAGCACTTGCAAAGATGGACAGCCTTGGATGAAAAGCCAAACATGTCACGGGTTCATCGTGACCTTTGAATGTTTTGATTCTTCCCTGTTTCCTTCCCCAATCCCACAGTAGTACTCTCCCATCTCGAAAACCAGTTAGTACGTGAGTTGAGCGGCGATCGACCGTCAGGGCCAAGGGAGAATTGTCACGACGGGTAGGTGACCTCCATTCTTCTATATGTCGTAATCTTTTTCCAACTGCAAACTCATACACCTTGAAGCAATCCATGCTCTGCACCACAATCCAGTCCTTCTGCACAATGAACTTGACTTTGTCAGGGGACCGTCCATCAGGCATTCGCCAGGATCCAACCTGCTTGCCATCTTCATAGTTCCACATTTGAAGAACGTTGCTTCCACTAGGTGTGAACAGAATCCACGGCTTGTCAGGATGCGCATCAATGACCAGCACACTTTCGTCCTTGCTATCCTTTACGGCATCCCAGTGCCATATGGTTTCCAGTAAGATCTTACTCTCGCCAAAATCATCCTCCATGTTAAACTGTGACCTTACTGGCAATTTCAAAAGCCTCCAACAGAGTTACTGTACCGTTCTTGGTAATATCGACGCTGGACTTGATCAGCAGACTTGAGCAGCTGCCAGACATTCTTAGTACAGGTAATTTCCACCGTAACAGAGCATCTCAGTGCAAGGTTCCCCTGCAAAAAAAAAAAAGAGACACACAAAAGATTAACTACAGGAGAGGGCAGCGACGGTTTGTCCACCGAGACTGGAGGCTAACTCTTGAATTTGCAAACATCACGAAGGGTCGGGTCGGCCTCGTTTGAAAAAAACGCCCCTGCAGGCGGGAACTGTGGAAGCTTCAAGACCTCGTCCTATGGGCCGTTTCTGACACCTCTTGAAGGGCCGGACCAAGAGCACTTTTCCACAGTTAGTGCAGCTATGACTCACTCTCGACGTTTTCGAGAGTGAATCTGACAGCTCTTAAATGGAAATTCAGGACGGGGCATCAAGAGTTAGTGCAGCGGCGATGAACTCTTCATCTCTCAAGATTCTAGAGTAGTGCAGCGAGGCCCAATGTTCGAATACAAGTGCATAGCACAAGCTGTTTGGGTGAGCAGACAAACCGGACAGGGCCTCGCTCCACCACTGGCAGTGTATCTTTCCATGGTCTAGGGGAAGATTCGTTTTCATTTTTCTTTAGTATTGTTTCCCTTTGTTCCCCGTGCCCTGTTTTCCCTTCTTTTTTTTCCCATACAAAAGAAAGCGCACACAACAAAGAACATGGTGGTGTGTCTTTCCATGTTCTACCAAAAGATTCATTCTCATTTTGCACCTGTCGTTGCATGATCGTGAAAGGCAAGCCTTAGGGGGGATTGAACAAAATCACGATCTTCAAAGAGAGGACGTGACGTGTGCTGCAGTGGTGGCGGGAAGAGGAGGATAGTGACCAGAAGGAGGGGCACCAGGAGGAGGAGCGGGAGGAGGGGGAAGGGGCAGGGATGAGGAGCGCGAGGAGCGGGAGGGGGAGCAGGGGCAGCGATGGGGAGTGTGATGAGCGGGAGGGGGAGCAGGGGCAGGATGCGGAGCGGGAAGAGGAGCGGAGGAAGGAAGAGGGGGAGAACGGCTGGCGACAGGAGGAGAAGGGGGGAAACAAAGATCAAGGAGGAGGACAGTGAACTGAGAGGAGCGCCAGGAGGCAGAGCAGCAGGAGGAGGAGGGGGGGGGGAGATGGCGAGGATGACCAGCGACAGGAGAAGGGGGAAAACAACGAGTGGAAGGAGGACAGAACTGAAAGGAGGAGGACAGTGAACTGGAGGAGGAGCGCCAGGAGGCAGAGCAGGAGGAGGAGGGGAGGATGACGAGCGGGAGGAGGAAAGGAGCGGGAGAGGAACGGGACATGGAGAAGATGACGGCAGGTGGAGGAGGAGATGCCGGCAGGTGGAGGAGGAGACGACTAGCTGACAGAGGAGAACAGTGAATGTGAGGAGCACCTGGATGAGCGGGCGCCGGGAGGAGGAGGGGCAGAATGACTAGCGGAAGGAGGAGCGGGAGGAGGGAGGAGAGGGAGGATCACGAACAGGGGGATGACGAGCGGGAAGACTGCGCGAGTAGCAGGAGAGAAAGGAGGGGGGGGAAGACGACGAGCAAAAAGAGGAACAAGAGGAGTGGCAGGAGGTGGAATGTGATGAGGAGGGGAAGGACGACGTGCAGGAGGAAAAGGGATGGGAAGACTCAAAGAAGGAGGAATGGGTGCAAGAGGAGGGGGAGCAGGATGAGTATGAGGAGGAACGAGAGAAGAAGGGGCAAGACAACGAGCGGGAGGAGGAACACGGTGAATGAGAGGATGAGGCAGAGGGGGAGGACGATGAGCAGCAGGAGGAGGTCAACGAATGGGGAGAGGAGGATATTTTCGGTCTGGTTTCCTTTCGACGCGCTGCATGTTTGGATACAAGTACACAACAGCGCACGGTTTTGTCACGGACGGAAAGGAGGCCCGTAGTTGAACAAGGGGAGGCTGACGAGCGGGAGGGGGAGCGTGACGAAGAGGAGGA